ACTTACTGTCATTAACTCTCTATAACGTAACAAACATAAATAACTTTGACAACTAGAACCTACCAATAACATCAGGTATTCATATCACACATTTGCATTACAAGATCTAAGACTTATCTAATCAAAAAGCAACAATCTTTTTAGGGAATAACCTAACATGAAATATTAAATTTTCTTAGAGATTTAGTAAAATTAAATGAGATCACTCGTTTGCTGTTAGACTTAAACTCAGGTGGATTTATTTTTTTTACTATTTGGTATCTAGCCACTTCAGCAACATCATCTTTTACAGGCCACTTGAATTTCTTGTCGTCAATTTTTTTCGCAAATTTTGTAATGTAAGAAGAATCTGTAACAGATTGAATTTGTCCAACATAACGATGTACCAAATTTTTCATTGATATTAAATTAACAATAACCCAATCGTTAGTTTCTGGTGGCATGTCATTTCCATGATCATCTTCAGATTCACAACTAGATGAAACTTCTTTTTCATCTTCAGACAAATCATACGTGGAATCTGGTGATGGAGGCAATTCATCATCGTCTTCTGATGAAGATTTATCCGTATTTGTAAACCCTTTAAGGTTCCGTTTAGCTCTATTCAACTTTTTGTCGACTGGTTTATTTATCTTTTTGTTCTTTTTTCTCTTCTTATTAATAGTTCCTCAACCAACTTTTCTTTTTCAGGTGTATCAGTCAAGATTTTCGTTGATCCTTTTTTACGACCTTTCTGGGTTACCTTTCGGCAACCAGCTTTCGGGAATGGTTTTATTTCCTCAGGAGTCTTAAAACATTTTAAGAATTTTGAACAGCCTGGTTGTGGACTTGATGAAGCAGCTCTCTTTGTAGGAGTTTTGTGTGTACTTGATATCAGGATCGCATTTGGATTGACAGAGTTTGATGTGAATTGTTCCGGTCTAATCGCATCTTGTGTGGTATTTTCAGGTACTTTTGGATTAATTTCGAAGTTTTGTCGTGTCAATGTTGCATCAGATAGAATTGATGGTGTAGCTGATCGTTGTGGAGACAAAAGTTCACAGTTTTGCGATTGGTCATTTTCATCAGTGCATTCTGGATTTGTTTCAGTAACTAAAGGCCTGTCCGTAACATACGACGAGAGAAATTCATCGTCGGTGAAAATGTCTTTATTGAAAGGATAAATCCCAGTCACTCGAAATCCACTCAGAATATTCTGAGGTGTAAAAGCTTTTGGAAATGCTTTCCCAAGTAATTCCGATATTTCATAAATCGTTATAGTTTTGGCAGGATTCTGGTCCATCCAATCGCTACAGGCGGTATTATAATAGGCTTTAAGTGGTCCAAACACTGTTCTGTCTAAAGACTGTGTTTTATGAGACGTGTGGGGAGGTATTGTCGAAAGATTTATACTATTCTCTTTAGCGAAGTTTAATGATTCTATGCTAATATGACTGTCATGATTATCCATTATAATCAACATCGGAGACTCAACTGAACATTTGGTGTATTTTTGAAAATGTTGTAAAAACTTTATAAAATTCTCAGCAGTCATCCAGCCTGAAGGAAATACGCTCGCATTTGTACCTGCAGGTGCACTGTTCAACATACGATCTTGCCAGTTCTTGCGTGGAAAGATCATGAATGGAGGAATGTATCCTCCTATTGCATTTATAGCACAGCACACAGTTACCAATTCACCACGTTCACCTGATGTCATCTTCCCTATTTGCTTTACACCTTTAGTAGCAACAATTTTCTTAGGTTTATGGGTAAGATGGTCAACAGTGGATCATTTTTTTTTGACGCATTGTAATATAAAAACTAATAGTCAGATTTTTACGAAAATTTGCCAGGGGCACGTGTGGTTATTAAGCTTTAAAATATTATTAGCCTTTCTGACAAACAGTGTACAATAAAAAAGGTGTTATATATTTTTTTATAGTAGGTTTGATCCACTGTGTACACCTCCTGGTACTCAATGGATCGCCCCCTGGTTTACAGTGGATCAAAGAAAATCTGAACAGGAAAGTAATAAAAGTCAAAGTAAATAATCAACTGGATGTTTATTTTTAAGCATCGTAAACATTACTAACCACAAGAGACATAATAAAAAAACTGGTGGAACTGCCTGGCCCCCAGCGCTTATGATGTTGCAAGTAGTGACAAGTGTCCCCTTCTCACCACTAGTGACTTTGCAGAGGTTTCGTCTACCCTTTGGCGCTATAATCCGTTGGGTCTTTTGCACAGTGGTGGTACCGGTTTCATCCAAGTTATAAATTCTTGTCCCATCAGCAAATGCAGGATGGCGCTTGATCACGTCCTCTAAGTTATCATAAAAATGATTGACGGTCTCTCTATTAAACTGTCAAACACCGAGCGGTCACCGGTGACCGAAACCTATTGTTCTTTAATTGTGTCTATAAATACGGTGCTCGACGAGTTAAAAGCCGATGCTCGTGCTAAACTGCACGCCTCGGGTTTACGCAGCGTCAAATCCTGATGTCGTTGGCGGAAACCCCTTAGCCAATCTATTCCAGCCAATTGGTTGTCTGTCCAGGTCTTTGGCATTCTGATGCCATTAATTTTGGCCATTTCGTAAGCAACTTGTCTACAATCCTTAACAGAAAGACCATAGAAAAGGCTTGCACATTTTATGTAATATTGTTTCAATATTAGCTCTTGGTCCTTAGAAAATACTTGGTTCACGGCGTAGTTAGGAGTCAACCTTGTCAGCTGGTTTTGCGCATTTTTTTCTTTGGATTGATACCTTTGGAGTGTTGTAAAAGGAATATTATGGTCAGCAGCAGCTTGTCTAATACTTTTTCCATCTTTTATGGCCTGTAATGCTTCACGCATTTGCTCATGTGTATGAGCACCTACTTTTCGTTCTTCTACTCTATTCCTCGGCATTTCTGTAAAGATAAACTTCTATTAAGTTCCTCATTTAATTGAGGGTACACTCTGGATCGACACAGCGAATCATAATCCATAGTGTACACAGTGAATCAATCCACTGTTAACCATATTAGCACTACAAAGTTCTAACTAAAATTTCTCAAAAACCACAGATACTTACGTAAATGTATTAGCTCTCAATCATACTACATGAATGTACACAAACAACTAGAATAAAATATATAGGATGACACCAATAGATTATGAAATATAAACAAAATTCAACTTACTTTAGCGATAGTTTTTCCTCCCGAAAATGAAAACGGCGGGCTCCCGCGTCTGTTGGTGAGCGCGTCCGCGCGGCGACTGCGGGAGTGGGAGGGGGTTCGCAAACGAGACACGGTTACGTATTTGGTTTACTGTTACATTAATAAATGGCGCAGATGTGTGTGTGATCATCTGTGTACCACTGATCCATTGTTGACCATGCGACCCTACAGTACTCAGCCCCGTCTCGTCAATATTCCAAATAGCTTCCGGTCCAAAATAATACTTAACCAATAATTTTTGTAAATTTTCAAAGAAACAGCCAATGTTATGTTTATTGAAGCTGGTCGATCTACTCAGGCTGGTCGCTTCAGGTACACGTAGTGATAATTGTGTATTTCTCTTCATAAAGCCATAGAACCAATCGTACGACGCAATATTATTGGTCCATTTACATATTTTGTCATCTGGCTTTTGGTTTTGAATAGCCAACTGATATGCTAGCTGCCGAACACACTGAGAAGATAGGCCATGATGGAGTTTGCTAGCTTTTTCTAGATACTTGGCTAAATGCAACTCCTCTTCTTTAGTGAAGACTTGGGACTGTCTATAATTAGGCTCGTATGTAATCTCATTTTCCTGGTCCTTTTGTTTTCTTGCATACCTTTTCAGTGTCATTATTGGGATGTTATACTCTTTGGCAGTACCTTTGATCGTGTTTCCCCCCAATATCTTGTTAACAGCTTCTTTAAGAATTTGTGGGTCAACACGTTTACGTGGTCTTGCACCCTCTTTTCTTTTATATGTTCTTCCCATTTTATAATGAATCTAAAACAAACGAAAAAAGTAAATTGGCAAATTGAATGTATGTATGGGACACTTGATCCCGGGATCAAGTGTACCACGTCTTGCCGTGATCAAGTGTACCCGGGAGTGCTCTTATAAAAAAATTTTTTTTTCATGTTAAGTGAAAACGGCAATTAAAACAAATTACATGGAAATGCAAATTTTAATAACCTACTTTTATTGATTTTGACACATACTCAGTGAATTGTTTATTCAGTTATTAAAGAAAACAAATGAAAAACTTACCGAAACAAATGCCGACACAAGAAAATAAAAATGGCTGCACTGCTCTGAAGTTCTCTGTATAAAGTTGTCAAAATGACGTTTTTAGTTCACCATAGACAACAAAGACTTATGTTGCCAATATAAAAACTAGAAAAAGCGTTTAGTTTTTGATTTGTCACTGGGTGATCAAGTCTCCCAAGGGAACAAGTCTCCCCAGTCTCCCCTACTAGTACTATAACTATCTGACTTTCTATTAAAAACATATAATTTGTTAAAATATACATCTGTGACTTTTTATAAAAGTTTAAAAAAAAAATCAGGAATGTATGAATGTGCCCCGCATGCGTGGTACTTTCATACAGGCTATGGGGCAGATTCATACATGTGAAAAAATACACAAATTAAGGAATAAATGTTTAATTATTTATGAAAATAAAAGTATCAAAACACAACATATTCGAAACCAAAAGCAATTAGACTCTGTGAGTCACTTATACCTAGAAAATAATCAAGTAATAAAGAGAAAAGTAAAAAAAGATAACTAAGTCAACAGAAAATAAATTGTAGGTAGTTTTTCCTTCTATGGCACTGAAAGAAACTTAGTTAACCTTTCTGATCAGTCAAATAAGTAATCTATGTCCTAGAATTAAATAACATATCTTTGTTATGTATCTATTAGTAGATAGGTAATATTAATAATCAACAATTAAAAAATATATCACAATATAAGGAATCCTAAATGTTAAATACTTAATGACTTTGAAAATGTCTTAATAATAATAATATTAATGGACGTTATAAAAAGAGAGATCTTTGTTAAAACTTAAAATACTAGCAGTTCTAGCTGTCTTAGCTGATTTAGGATCCGGTAATATCAAAACTATATCTGATAGATCTACTGATCCTTCGTCTTTCACGTCTGGAAATACAAATTTCATAGAAGATCCTGGTTTCTTTCTTAAAAATGAAACCATTACTTCTGTCAAACTGTAGTGTTTGATTATTTGACCGACATAGTAAATAACAGACTTCTTTTTCTCAAATTTAACAAGGACATAGGCCCCATCCTTGACATTTTCAGGATCCACAAGCTCTACACGAACATCTTCTTCTTCGTTTTCTTCAAGTTCATCGAAAGGTGAAGCAGAACTTTCTCTCAGGCTGATTGTTTCACTGTCGCTACTACTTGTTTCAATCTCTTTGGTTTTATCTTCATTTAATAAACTCAATGCTTTTTTTATTTCTCTTGCTCTACTTTTTCGTTCTTTTTCTAATCTCTTCATCTCTTTAATTTTTTTCAAATCTTCAATTCTATTCTTCTCAGGCGTGTCGGTATAAATCGTTGATTTTCCAAGTGATCGACCATTTCTTGTTTGTTTGCGTCTTTGGACTTTCGGGAAAGGCCTTATCATTTCCGGAGTCTTCAATAGTTTGGAAGTAGATGGTGTAGGTTTATCAAAATCCATAAATAGAAGAGGTTGTGAAAGCAGTGAAGGCGAAACATCTCTAGACAAAGTCGTCGGTGTTCGAGCAGGAACATCACCACTGACTTCTGCGAGTTCATAACTAACTGTAACAAGCTCATTATCGGGTATTCCACGCTGCTCCTCACCAGCTGTATTTTCATTGTCATTCGTTACAAGATTAGAATGATAAACTTGAACTGGCGCAAAATCTTCATCATTAAAAATCAATTTATTGAAAGGCCATATTCCGGTTTTTTCAAATGCTCTAGTGATATTCCTTGCATTAAATGATTCCAAATAAGGTATCTTTGTGAGTTTTGGGATATTGTAGATGTTAAGTGTTTTTCCCGGGTTAGAAACGTGCCAGTCATTGAATGATGTTTTTAATTTAGATTTAAGTGGCCCAAATACTCCAACGTCTAATGGTTGAAGGCGGTGAGTCGTGAGAGGTGGGAAGGAAAGGCACGCTATGCCATTGTTCCGGCAATAGTTGATGGCATCAATAGAAGTGTGGCTTTCATGGTTGTCTAATAAGAGCAATATCGGATTTTCTTTGGAAGATAAGGTGTGTTTCTGTATGTGCTTTAAAACATCAACAAAAATGCTCGAATTTATCCATCCACTTCTCGTAGCTACACCTAAAGAGCCTTCTGGAGTACCTTCTATGAAGTGGTCCTTAAAATGTACTCGAGGGAAGATGAATAAAGGTGGTATGGTGTTTCCACTGGCCGAAATAATACCGCCAAATGTCACCAGTTCTCCTCTTTCGGCAGACACTATTTGACCAACTTGTTTTTGGGATTTGTCAGCTAAAATTTTCGGTGTGCTCAGCACAGTAGATATACCTGACTCGTCGTAGTTAAAAATCCGATTGGGAGTAAAATTGTGCTTGCGGTATACATTTTCCAGGTTCTGAAAGAAATCATTCACTGCCGTTTTATTAAACCCGAATGATCTTGCAGCGCTGGTATTTTCCGGCTTGCGCAAACTTAAATTTTGATGGCGTTTTCGGAAACTCGCTAACCAGTCTGCTCCCGCCATCTTGTTTCTTTCCCAACTTGCTGGATATTTCAGTCCATTGGCCTTAGCGAATTCATATGCCAGTTTTTTAACTTGGACACATGTTAGTCCATAGTGCATTTTGGAACACTCTAAGATGTATTTATTTAAAAGTTCCTCTTCGATTTTTGTTAAAACTTGCTGCGATGCAAATTTGGAGTCAAAAACACGATTTTCGCTAAGTAAATCTCGTGTTCGTAACTTTTTGAGACGGCTTTGTAATGTTTGTGGATTTACTCCGTACATGGCTGCTGATTTTCTTAATGAGAGTTTGTTTAGAATTACTTCATCGACAGCTTTTGATATTGCAACTTCGTCTACCTCTCCACTCCTAGTACCCTTTTTCTTGTAATTCCTGACCATCATTTTTCTGTAAAACAAAATATAATATGATTTCAACTCTAACATAAAAATATGAGGCACATTCAAATATGAACCTGCCCCATTCAATGATTTGGAAAAATAATTATTCTTATGAAAAAACCAAACATATATATTATTATTTACGTATCAATTCACAAATTACATCCTATTATCTTTGAAATAAAATAGTATTGAATAATCTAGTTAAAAACTTTCATCAAAATAAATATGTTTAAAGTGAGGTTATAAAATTACTTACGCGTTGCCGAATCACGTTCCGCCTCACCTCGTCGCGAGTTTCACACTGACTGCTGTCAAAATTCGTGAGCCAACGCACACTTAGATAAGTCACGTGTACATGCTTAAATCGTTCAGTTAACGCGCGCCTAGTAAGAGATGTCGCTAGTGTATGACGGTGCCCCGTGTATGACCCTCCCCCTTCCCCCCTATAGCAATGCTGTCTATAAACGATAAAGTGTATAAAATGTCAGTAGGAACTTTTCATGTTTTGTACAAAATCTTTTGAATCGGTGCTTTAAATTACATTAAATTTAGATATCATACAAATATGGCTAAAGAGCTATCGTATGACATATAACTGTAATTTAGGCATTACATAGCATTACTGACTTTCAACTCCATAGGAATATGGGCATGGTCCTTTCCATCACAATGTGATGGAAATTTATTCACTATGTTTTGATATTAATTGTACATAAATAACAAAAACATGAAAACAAACCTTTTTTCCACTCATTTCCACTTTTGTTGTATTTGGGCCTTATCATACTAGCGGATTGCGAGCGTCTTCAAAGCGGAGCGGGCGCGCAACGAATGCGTCGCGAACGCGTCGCGGCTGCTCAGCGATGACGTCGCGGACTTGCGGCAAATTCGCAACGTTTTCGTCGCGTGTTTGTAGCAAGTTAACGACGCACAATACACTCAGTAACAAAATGGATTCTGACGAGGAGACACTGCTGTTGGCTTTGTTACTTCGAAGACGCCGGAGACGAAAACGGAAGCACCGACGAATTTGGGAAGATACATTATCAATTAATCGAATGAAAGAGAGCGACTACTTTGTGTTGTTTTGCAAAGGAATAAAACATAATCCTAAACAATTTCATTCCTACCTGCGAATGTCAAGAACTACATTTTATGAATTGTTGCATCGAATACAAGCTGATATAAGACATGAAGACACACATTTGAGATTATCATATGAGGTATGTTTTTAACATTAAATACACAGAAGATAATTAATTATACTTCTTTAATATTATTAATCGGTTAATCATTAGCTACCTACAAATTATCAACATAACGATAGCTTTACAGTGATTAAATTATTTCTCATTATAAGGAGGTACCTAACCAGGATTTTGGAAATTATTACTATTCTGAAAATAAATCACTATAAATTGTATCTTCAGCGATACTGTTCTCGTCATAAACACTTGGTGAAGAATTAATTGGTTGCAATGTATTATTTCGGGGTGGCTTTGGACTTGTAAAATATCCTGAATAGTTGGGAGGATAGCTATTAGACATATGCTTGTATTTTTTCAAAACTCCCATGATCTCCATTTTGGCATCCATTTTATAGTCTGGATGAATTGATTTTAAATCATCAACCATAGACAACACCAAGTTGTATTCCGGTTCACTTTCACCACTTCTGTTTTAGGAGCTAGGTAGGAGAGCCTAGTGTCCTAGAGGAGGTTTCTTCTTTTCTTCCAGTAGTAGTGAAATTCCGATGAGAGGTGTGGACCAGAAAGATTTAATTCGCCAAACTACGCTACTTATATTTCTATTTACATATTTACAACTAGACAATATCAGATATAGTTAGGTGATAGTTTCGACCAATAGCGGCGCGCCGGCGTGCGCGGGGTGCGGGGCGCCGCTTTGCACACGGCACTACCGTAAAATGGGGTAGGGTAGACCGGGGACTATTGTCCCCGGTACTATTGTACCATTTTCGGAATATGGTTTGATTACACAAACTTGACTGTTGCTTTTTGTTTTAGATATTATCATTTTACAGCCTTGGTTTATTATCTACCGAAGAAAATATCTGAAATTGACCTAGATTGAACCAAATTTGGTCAAAATTGACTTTAACGAAATGATAGCTAGTGCTACAAATGACCCCCTTTGAGGGTTAATTGTACCAAAATTACATTGGGTAATAAAACGCAAATAAAGGTATTAATCACATTTTCTCAGTCATTTATTTGAAGTCTTATAGGTTTATAATATAATACATAAAAAATAGGAACAAAAAAATCGTGAGATCGGTATTTGAAATAAACACAAATGTAAAGTTATAACATAACATATCAATTCTTCGTCTATAACAAAAATAAAATAAGTTTTTAAAAACATATAATCAACTTTGGTTCACCAGATGCACATTTGCTATTATCTAGCTTAATAACAATGTTAAAATAGAAATAATCAACAAAATTATTTTACTATGGAGGTACAATTGACCCCTGGTACTATTGACCCCCATAGAATATTAGATATTAAAAAAATTAAAAAAGTATGTTAATCAGATTTGCAATTATGACATATATAAATCAACTCCTGAGGTGTGCATTCTTCGTGTGCCCATAATCGGCATTGAGTGCATTGAACCCACATTTCGTTAGGGCGACTAGTGCTATAAAGTTCCATACATACAACACAAAAACATTCTTTTTCTTCTTCACTAGTTTCAGACTCAAGTTTTTCTGTAGTTTTCTTTTTTTGCCTGGAATCACGTTTTACCCCTTTAGATTTACCTGGGCAATTTAGATTTTTTTAAATTTGTTTAGCTTTCTTTCTTTTTTCGGCTTCCTCAGCTTCTTTTTGTATAGCATCTTTTTCTGGGGTGTCAGTGTATATAGCCGTTTGTCGTTTTTTTCTTCCGCGATTGGTGGTTTTGCGCGGAGGTGCCTTGGGCAGAGGTCGATCTGATTCAGGAGAAAAAATGGAGGGTTTGGTTCCATTTGATGTAGATGGTTTGGGGTCGAGTACGGATGTTGAGTGGGGAGAAATATTTGTAATTTCACGTAGTGGTGTGCTTGCACGTATTTCCATAGGTTCATTATCTGATGTATTTAGTTGAGATTCCTGTCCTATATCCAAAGGGTCAAATAATACCAAATTGTCTCCAGGTATGATTTCTGGCACTAAAGAAACTGTTTCTGAAGATGGACTTGGTATGGCACGGATCTCTTTTGGCGTTTCTTGTTCTTCATGTGGAGATGAAGTTTGTTGAATTACAGGCTCAAGGTTTGACTCGACGGTATTACTCTGTACTCCAGATTCGGGAGAAGGCTCTTGGATGCTATTAACAGCCGGCATAGGTCGATCTGTCACATATGAAGGGCCAAAATCGGTATCATCAAATATATCTCAGTTGTAGGGGCAGATTCCTGTGCAACGAAATTCCGATTGAATGTTTCGAGGGGTAAAAGCAAGAGGAAATGAAGTGGCAACAATTGATGGAATATGGTAAATAGTCATGGTTTGACCCGGATTGTTCCTCATCCATGCATCACAAGCGGTATTTACATGCTTTTTCAGAGGACCATGTACAGAGCGATCCAGTGGCTGCAACTTATGCGAGCAGTGCGGTGGAAACGATAAAACGATGATGCCATTTTCTTTACAAAAGTCTAAAGCTTCTATTGTTATATGCGATGGATGGTTATCAAGGAGTAACAGCACTTTGTTATCAAAAGACACTCTGGTAAATGATTGGAAATGTTTCAAAAACTTCAGGAATTGAGTCGCTTCCATCCAACCTGACGCATTACCAGCACCTACGCAACCCATTGGACCATCTCTGATGAAATGATCTTGGTATCTCTGGCGTCGAAACACGAACATCGGAGGCAGAGTATTACCAACGGCATTTGCAGCCATAGCCACAGTAACAAGAGTACCGCGCTCCGCTGACGTCAATGCTCCTACTTGCCTTTGTCCATTCCTGGCAATAATGCGATTCGGCTTTTGGACGGTCGTAATGCCAGTCTCGTCCATGTTGTATATGTCTTTAGCTTCAAAATGATAGCGATTCATTACTTTGGCTAGGTTATCAAAAAATGCGTCGACATTTGTCTTATTAAAACTCGTTGCACGAGCAAGGCTAGTAGCTTGAGCACACCTTATCGAAAGTTCCGAGTTTCTTTTCATAAAAGATGAAAACCAATCAGGCCCTGCCATTCCGTTTTGATCCCAGGATTGTGATCTTTTCAAATCAAATTTAATAGCCAAATCAAGTGCCAAGCGTCTTACTTCTTTTGGCGTTAAACCATAATAAATATCTGCTGTTCTCACTAAATATTTTGCTATGCTTTGTTCTTGCTCTTCGGTAAATACTTTTGTTGCTGGATTATACCCCATAGTAATAAAGTCGTCCGGATTAGCCTCTCTTTTACGTTTGTAACGTATCAGAGAAACATGGCAAACGTTAAACATAGTTGCAGAGGCGCGTATGCTACGCCCTTTTAAAATTTCATCATATGGGCGTTCATACAATAATGTGTCTCTTGACCCACGGTCCGTCTTTTTTATTCTATTTCGTGGCATCTAAAACAAGAACAATCCAATAAGTAATTGTATATTTTAAGTACCTATTTATTTTTTACTCTAGTATTATTAGGTGTGCGTTCGCGCAGCGGAATGTTGTTGAATTTAAAGATTTTAATTATGCAGATAATTAGTGTATGACGTCCTATAATTGTGTATGGTAAAACAAAATTTGTGTATGCAGCCATTGTGGAGAAATTCACCAAAAACTGATTTCGCTGGGCGAACGTTGTCCTGGCGGAACTTTTTTTAATCCATATACTTTAGAAGAAAAGAGATGTGTCCAAAAATTTGTGCAAATACACACTGTGTGCTGTTGAACTTGAGTCTGATTTTGTTTTGTCCCCGTTTTACGGTACTTACATGTGGTAATTACTTCATTTCCCTAAGGGGTCTATAGTTAGAATCCTGATCCGTGAAATCTTTAATAGAAATTAGCTGAATGAATATTATTTGTCTTAAATAATATATCTAGATTATATCTCAAGCCTCAAGCGCATACTTAAATAAAGTGCCTACGTAATTAGCATCTACTTTCTGTCATAGTCAAATACATTAAAAAAGTAGGTGTAGAAAAATAAATGACCTATAAATATATCGAAACAACAATTGTGTTATCACCTGTACCAATTCAATACCGGTATTATAATATAAATTTTGGGATGTTAACTAAATATATTGCACGGCCGCTTTTTTATAGCTATCCGAACTAGGTCGGATTATGTAGGTTTTCGATGTCTCGTCAGTAATATGTTTGTCTTTCTTTAATTAATGAATTTAATGAGATGAAATTTTGCATGTGAATAGTTGAATGATTAAACAAATTATTGGCATACATTTTACCATGCAATTCCTTTAGAACGTCGTGATATTCGACTGCTTTGTAAACAGTGATCTATTTACTAACGGAACATCATTGATACTTGGCAACATGTTGCAGACACTTACAAGGTTTGTGTAAACGTGAAAATCTAGACCCCAAAGTGCATACTTTAAGAACTAAGACCTAATAAGTGTATTTTAAGTTTATATATTTATCTTTTAAACCCTACGACTTTTTCTAAATCTGTTTTTTAAACAAATATAAACAAATTCAAACCAACGTATGTAAAAATCTACAGCTCTCTATGTAAGCGCTTTATACGAAAACTAGCTAATGGCCAAACGTTCGCGTAGCGGAAACTTGAATTTCTCCGAAGTTTATGCATGCACTGATTTCATTCATACATAAACAATTACACACAAATACACACTAATTTTTGGACACATCTCTTTTCTTCTAAAGTATATGGATTAAAAAAAGCTCCGCCAGGACAACATTCACCCAGCGGAATCAGTTTTTGTTGAATTTCTCCACAATGGCTGCATGCACAAATTTTGTTTTACCATACACAATTATAGGACGTCATACACTAATTATCTGCATAATTAAAATCTTTAAATTCAACAACATTCCGCTGCGCGAACGCACACTATTATTAGTACGGGGTTATTTCTACCATGGGGTCAATTGTACCGGTAATATTGACCCCGGCGATGTTGGTACAATTGCACCCAAGTACCTAACTAATTTAGAAAAACCATCAAATAAACCCATAATTCTAAACTTATAGTTTTCGTATTTATTATAAATCAAAAATTAGTTAATAACCTTTTAATCTAGCAACAACAATCACTTATCGAAAAGGCTCTAGTAGTTCGAGTTACATTCAATCATATTTTACGTAAAAACTTACCTCGGCTAGTCAAAAATTCGCCCCTAACACGTCCGTTTCAGAGCACGCGCGCCGGCGACTGAGGGGCGCCTCGGGACTCAAGTAGCGCGTGTGCTGGCGCACTCACACATGCACAATTTCGCTCAGTAGGAGAAATATCGTTGATGGTACTATTGACCCGTGTTACTATTGTACCCGGTCTACCCTACCTAACCAGGATTTTGGAAATTATTACTATTCTGAAAATAAATCACTATAAATTGTATCTTCAGCGATACTGTTCTCGTCATAAACACTTGGTGAAGAATTAATTGGTTGCAATGTATTATTTCGGGGTGGCTTTGGACTTGTAAAATATCCTGAATAGTTGGGAGGATAGCTATTAGACATACCTATGCTTGTATTTTTTCAAAACTCCCATGATCTCCATTTTGGCATCCATTTTATAGTCTGGATGAATTGATTTTAAATCATCAACCATAGACAACACCAAGTTGTATTCCGGTTCACTTTCACCACTTCTGTTTTAGGAGCTAGGTAGGAGAGCCTAGTGTCCTAGAGGAGGTTTCTTCTTTTCTTCCAGTAGTAGTGAAACTCCGATGAGAGGTGTGGACCAGAAAGATTTAATTCGCCAAACTACGCTACTTATATTACTATTTACATATTTACAACTAAACAATATCAGATATAGTTAGGTGATAGTTTCGACCAATAGCGGCGCGCCGGCGTGCGCGGGGCGCGCGGGGTGCGGGGCGCCGCTTTGCACACGGCACTACCGTAAAATGGGGTAAATAGGGACAAATCTGAACTTCATAAAGAAAGTTAAGGCGTTTTTTTATAGAATATTTGCTGTAAGGCGATTGTAATAATTGAGTCGTGATGGTATCTTTGTGATCAAACATAAATTATGCAATTAGCATTTCAGTTTATGCATAAAAAAGCTAAAATATAGCCTATCCCTATTCACCCAGAAATTGGGGTCAATCGGGACGAAAATAAGGCCAATAGGGAAATTCTCTAGGGCTGCCACTTGTGTAGGTACCTACCTAATAAATTATAATTTCTGGCTAACTACCATTTTTTTGTATTTTAATTTATTCTACATTATTACTTATTGCCACTATGTAATTCTTACATAATACTAGTTTCTGATTATTTAATAGCTATTTAGTCATTGAAATAAAATCCACTTTTACTTCCATTATTTATTTAATCAACAAACCTTTTGCAAATTTTTCATTAATGAACCTGTATAAACATTTCAAAATCAATAAACAAATGTAGGTTTCAAGTTATTACAGCTTAGTTAAAACCGCTTTTAGCAAGTAAAATATTATAAAAGTCATTGATTAACAACTCAATCATAAAATACACTTCAAATTAAATGAAAACGTCATCTTTTGAAATCACTGTAGACATAGACTAAATAAATCAGTTTTACTTAAAATAAAAAATAATTCTAAATTCTACGGGTATACACGTACCGCAAATAAGATCTTACATGGTTTGGTGTAAAGAAAACATAAAACTCTCGACAAAGGAAACAATAGTTTTACTTAACATAAAAAATAAATGTATATTCTACGGGTGTATACCTGTAACCATGTATGATCTCATTTGCGATACGTTATATGCGTTATGTTTATGCATGTTTTTGTATGTTAAGTAAAACTAATTGTTTTCTTTTTTCGTGAGTTTTATGTTTTCTTTTATACCAAACCATGTATGATCACATTTGCGGTACCTACGTGTATATGTACCACAAATGAGATCATACATGACCGCAAATGAGATCATAAATGGTTTGGTATAAAAGAAAATATGAAACTCTCGAAAAAAGGAAACAATTAGTCTTACTTAACATAAAAAGTAATTCTAAATCCTACGGGTATACAAGTACCTACCGCAAATGAGATCGTACATATAAAAGAAAATATAAAACTCTCGAAAAAAGAAAACAATTAGTCTTACTTAACATAAAAAATGATTCTAAATCCTACGGGTATACAAGTACCGCAAATGAGATCGTACATATAAAAGAAAATATGAAACTCTCGAAAAAAGAAAACAATTAGTTTTACTTAACGTAAAAATTAATTCTAAATCCTACGGGTATACACGTACTGCAAATGCAATCGTACATGGTTTGGTATAAACGAAAACATAAAACTCTCGAAAAAAAGAAAACAATTACTTATCATCGGAGTCCATCAGATCTCGAAGAATATCCATGTCATCCTTATAGTAACTAGGTCTTCTGAGACCACTTGTACTAGGCTTAGGTTTTAAAAAAGGTTCAGAGTTATTCTCATAATAATTAGATTTTTTGAGGCGATTAGCACTAGGTTTAAGTTCAATAGGTTTTTTCATATTTCCTTTGTATATAACATCAGATAAAATGCGTATTTTTGGTTGTGAGTCTTTTTGGCGTTGGTCTTCTGTTACATTTAAATAACATAAACGTTTCTCACCTGTTTTCTTTTGTACCATAACTACTGGACTTGCGTAAGGTGAAGAAGACTCTCTGATTATATCACTGTCAAGCATCTCTTTCACCATGTCCCTTACCATAGACCTTTCAGCATACGACATGCGGTACGGACGATACACTACCGGATCTGTGTCAGTAAGTTCAATTATCATCTCAGTTACTTGAGTATATCCTAAATCATGTAATCCGCTGGAGAAGCAACCACTAAACTTTGCTAGCAAACCTTGTAAACGTTGCCGCTGATTTTCATCTAAGTTAGGATCACAATTCACAGAGTTCGTCATTTCCAAATCATTGAAACTAACGCTAAAAGAATTTAATGTTCTCGTTAAAGGCAAAGAGTTTTTTTGAAGAGATCTAGTTAACAGAGTGCCTTTGACAAAATAGATTGGAGTAGATGATAAATTGTAGATTAGAATTGCACCACGTCCGTTTTTGATCTCATACTGACCGGGAAATATATAATACTCTTTACCTTCAGGGCCACGTAGCGTACCATTGACATATATATCACAATCCAAGTTCATGTCAGTGCGAATTACGATTGTGCGTAGTGTATTCTCAGGAATATCGGTATCATTATCTACTATTACGTTTAATTTGTTTGGTGACATCCTTTGAAACTGAATTTCATTGGGCGTTTTAGTTATTAATACATTAGGTTTTTCTGTAAAAGAATGTCCCTGTAAAACGGGGTGCAGCAGGACATAATCCTCTATAACATATAAATCTATTGTCTCGATTAAGCCCTGGACTTCGACAGTGGCCAGGACGACTCCTATTGGGGAAACCAAGTTTGCGCCTATACCTCGAAGTAAAGGTAAGTTTGAGTGTATTTTTATTTGTAGATTGAGTGATTTAGCAACACTCATTCTTATAAGAGAACATTGACTACCAAGGTCAACATGACACGATATTATTGAGCCATTAATTTTGATGTCCATAATATACTTACTTAAACCTGAATCCTCTACGCTAACTTCAGAGACCTGTTTATGTTCTTTAACCGCAGGTTGATCTTTATTATTATTATTCCTGTAACATTTATCGCTTCGGTGTCCAAATTTATCACAAACTGTACATTTTACAGGAGGCTTGTCACATAAACGACTTGGGTGACCCAACTCGTCGCAATTAACCCTTAAATTGGCAAATAAGTTTATTTTAATAATTTAATGATTTTTTGTTATTTCCTGGTTTATTATGACGCTAGATGACTGAAAAAAAATGTAAAAAAAATCTACCTATTACAGTTTTCGCGAAAATATATGTACTTCGGGAAGTACATTGCCAACTGTAGTGTAAAGTACGTCTTCTTTTGTTTGTACTACGTGGAGCACGTTGCCAAAATATGAATGAAACACATCTTAGTTCAATCTTCACTTTATTTATCATAATTCTTATCAAATATAGGTATATATTTATTGGGTGTGAAATTGGCGGAAGCAATTCCTTTTGTTACTTTCTCCTACCACAAAACACAGATGCATATTGCATTTCACGCAAAAAACTTTGGTTCTTCCCTCTTTGCAAAACCTACAACGTGATTGCTTATTTGCTGATTCTGGGAAATGTCCGACAGCATCGTATCTGACACTATCCACCGGCCGTTCAGCTGTAGGTTTCAGAATTATTTTCGCCTTCACCCTCTCGATGCTTCCACTTGACCTGGCAATTTTTCCAGCCCGACAAAGTCCTTCAAATAAATCAAGCCTAAACTCTTTTAGAGACTTTTTAATTCTGCCATCTCGCCTGTAAAGAAGCCAAGCGTTATTTATGCATATATCTAGCATTTGCGAAAATATACCCAAATACGAACGTCGGCTCTTGAAAGGGGTCCTGTACAAAGATATGAGCATATCTGCTAAATCTACGCCCCCCATATGCTTGTTGTACTGCTTCACAAGTTGAGGGCAGTCAACATCTACTTTACGTTTGTCTTCCTTCGAGTATCTCCTTATCTTTTCTATAGGATGAGAATCCACGTAGGAACTAATAAGCGTAACCACCTTGCTATCGTTCCACTTTACGATAGCTAACTTATTGTTATTGCACACAACTTGGGCACTGTATCCTCTCTTTCTCTTTTTTATTTCTTTTTCAGAGGGTAACAGATCTTGACAACCCCTGAGCCGGTTTGTTCGTATTGTTCCCAGGCTAAATATACCATATTCTTCTCGCAATAAGTAAATAAGCTCTGGAGAAGTAAAGAAGTTGTCCGCGTATATGATAGATGGTTTCTTTTTTATTGTTTTGCATAATGCTATTACCACCATGCCACCAACCCCAAGTGAAGCTTCTTTGGCTGTGAAAGTGTGTTCACGGAACGTGTCATCTCCACCGTACATGATGAAATCATATATTATGCCTGAAACCCCGGCGCGTACAAAATTTTTGAAGCCCCATTTTTTCGGCTTGTTCTTTATATACTGCCTCCTTTTCCCAGCTTTCGTGCCTTTATATGGGATTATCATTTCATCTATTGAGTACTGCCCTTCTTCCTCTATCTTCAAACAATTTTGTCTGATCTTCTCCATAACAGGGCGTATTTTGTAATAGCGATCTGAATTCTCCATGCTATTATCAGCAAAGTGAATGTTGCGGCGTATTTGTTGATAACGCTTTAGGGGCATTTCATCAGATATGAGAGGATATCGTGTTTTTCTTGCCCAATAATCAGTATATGCTGGCATTTGAACCACACCCATTAACATTTCAATAGCAAGAAAACGTTCTAACTCTTCATTTGTCAACTGTATAGACTTGCCATGTTGTTGAACAGAATATAAGTTTGTATTGTGAACGATATCTGAAATGATGTCTGATGAAAAGAAACAGCGAAAGTATTCCAATACCGTTTTATTTTGCGTTTCATGAAGTTCGTGTATCCCTTCATCCACGTAGCCCCTATGGCGTAAATAAGTTTTTTTCCAGCTGTAAATCAGTGAAAATTTAGTTTTCTTAACCTTTTTGACTACCATTGAAGGCTTTTTACGTTTAGATCTAGTGATCGGCACAGGCGAAGCTTTTGACGTGCTAGGAAGTGGTGACTGCAGAAGTTCTACAGATGGAGTGGGTAGTGATTGAATTGAATTCAATGTTGGGATGGCAGCGTAATTATTAGTTGACGGAGATGGAAAAACCTCTTGAAATGTTGGTGTTAATGGTACATAATCAATGTTACAGTCAAATACGCTATTGGAGTCGTTGTGGTCGTCTTCTAGAATATTCAGTCTTTCAAATGAGGAGTCTAATGAAGGTGGGTCAGAGCTGAGCTTAGGTGAAGATGGTGGAAGGATGTGTGATTCGTCATCAGAACTAGAACTGTCGTCGGAACATGCATTTTCTTTCGGGATCAAAGCTAAAATCTTATGCGATCGTGTCAGGTTCAAGCACTGCAGCAAAAGAAAAAGACATGCTGTATGACATACAATCTACACCGCAACCGAAATTATTTTATATAAAAAACCAAACAAAAAAAAAGCTAGTTTACATTTCTAAGTCATAGGCAATGTACTTCGTGTATACCAAAGTTTATTTTGTGTTCTTTACTACGTACTTGGCAACGGTATTCAGGAAGTACATACAAAGTTATTATTTTATAAAATTGCGATTACATTATTTATACATAACATTCCGCACGTTTGATATTATTTATAATCTTCCCATGCAATTTAAAGCCTAATAACCGCAAGTCCCATCCAAAAAAGTGTAAAAAACTGAAAAAACTTACCCGTGACGCAGATACACCAGACCGCTTCGAAGACATTTTGAATTTGACAGACATTTTTCGATGTTACCACGTCTAAATAATTTTTCTACCAAAATATACAATTATTGCAAGCTAAAAAAAATAACAACTGGTACTTTTTTTTAGATTAGTACTACAATCGATTTAAAAAAAGTATATGTCTTTGGTGGAGTACACTGCCAATTTAAGGGTTAAAACACCTTACATTTGAATTATAAGTACTCGTACCTGATTTCGCTGGCCCTGGGCGGTTAATGTTGCTTCTAAACCGACGTTCGTATGTGTAAGTAGAGTCTCTACTGTGGCCGCTTTTAACAGTTCTAAAATATTTAAGTACCTGTTCTGGTTCTTTAAACTGGGCTGCTTGTGCGCCAACCTTAACAGCACGATCCTCAACACCATGCAAGAGACAATCCACAGCCTGTCTACCAGATATATTACATCGGTTTAATAAATTATTTTTCTCGTAAAAGTAATGCTCTAATGACTCCCCATATCTAGCTTTTTTAGCTAACATATTAGTAAGAAGTTAAGCATAATCCTCTCGACATGGAAAAGAATCGATAAGTTTCCTTTTCCATTCAGACCAAGTATGTAATATCGAAGTAAGACCCTGATACAGTGCCGGATTTATGTTTTTTATGAGTGTAGGCTACTTTATTTCCGCCGCCCCAAGTACAAACTTACATACCTACCTTTCTAAAATAATAATTTTCCATTTTTAGTAAAGAACGCTTTACAGTTAAATAAAATTATACCTAGTCATTAAGAAGGAGCGTAATGAAATAAAAATCAAGATATACATTTTATTACGGGCCTTTTTAATAGCAAAATCATTAATAATATCATCATAGTTTATGGTGTTCATTATCTCGGCTTCTATGTAGAGAAGAGCTAGAGAATTCATTTTTTCTTGAGACAATGAAGACCTTTGATATTTTTTTACGCGTTTTAAACAGGAAAAACTCCTTTCCCCAGAACAATTTGTAGCAGGCGTGGAAAGTGCAATGCGGAGAGCTATATCCAAGTTAGGGTATACATTAGACAGACTTTGATTCCTCAAAAAAGTTGAGAGACTGAGGAGTGAGTTTGATTCAGGCTTCAATGCACACTCTGCAGTTTTATAAGAGGAAATGTGACTTTGAAAATGCACACATCCTTGAATCAAATCGTCCTCTAAATCATTGGTATAATATTTTACGAGAGACTGAGCTTTTTCTGTAACTGTTTCCGTTGAAAGTTCAGTCATTTTTGTTAAAAATGAAAATTTGTCCTTAAAGTTTAAGTAAGCATTATGCCTTTTCTGTATTTCAGCTCTCAGACTATCAAGGATGACCAAAAAAGTATTCACTCTGAAATAATCTCTGGAGTTGGTGGGTATTTCAGGTTCTTCATTCGTGGTTTCATCCGCCATCTTTTTTCTTTTAGGTTGTCTTTTTATTTTATCTTGATATTCCTTAAGTGTGCTCATCTCCATTGCTTTTTCTTCGAAATAGTCAAAGTTTTCTCGTTCTGCTATTATAAACTCTACTAGAGATCCATAGAGATCAGATACCGTCAATACATCTACAGATGAGCTCTGAATCTGAATGCTTACTTTATTTAATCTTTCCAAAATAATATTCCAAAATATGACCATGAACGCAGTTTCAAGTTTTTCTAATTTGATGCGGATTCCCTTTGCCTCATTTCGCGGGACCGGTTTTTCTGTACTGTCATTTTCAAACATTTTTAAAACTGTAATTACTTCATTCCAGGACTGTTTTAGACTTTTACAGGCATCTGCTCTAGCCGACCAACGAGTGAGGTTCACTCTCTTGAGTGTTTTTCCTCTTCCTATCTCATTCGTTAATTTTTTCCAACGTTCAGTTGACTTCACGAAGAAAGTATATACCTCCTCTAGCAACATAAAGAAGTTGCAGGCCTCTGTACAAGACTCAGCGGCCGAGGTTCCTACCAAATTCAATGAATGAGCTGCACAAGGAACAAACATAGCGAATTGTGCTTGTTCTTGAATTTTGGCTTGTAAACCATTGTAAATTCCTGACATATTAGAGGCATTATCATAAGACTGACCGCGGCAATCATCGAGGTTAATGTTTAACTTTTCTAGCTGTATAGTAATGGCATTAAACATATCTTGAGCCTTGTGTCCTACAGAAGGCAAGAATTTAATGAATCTCTCACATGGTTCTCCATTATCTAAAACATATCGAATCACAAGTGTTAGCTGATCTAAATGTGCTACATCTGGTCTAGAATCCACGATCAAAGAAAAATACTTTGCTTTTTTTATCTCATCACTGATGTAAATTAGTACTTTTTCAGCCATTAAATAAATGAATTCGTCGCAAACAGTTTTCGAAAGGTAGCTAGTTGTTCCAGATCCCTGATTTGCATATCTTTCAATGTGTTTGGTTAGTAATGGGTCAAACTCTGCTATTAATTCTAGAAGCATAATATAATTTCCACTGCGCTGGTCACCAAATTTTTCATTACTTTCATTACTTTACCTTGGGTATCATTGCGATTGGACCCTTTACCGCGGGTTTCACCAATCTCTAACCCTTTACCGCGGGTTTCACCAATCTCTAACCCTTTACCATGGGTTTTACCAATATCCAACCCTTTACCTCGGGTTTCACCAATCTGTAACCCTTTACCGCGGGTTTCACCAATATCCAACCCTTTACCTCGGGTTTCAGCAACGTCAGACCCTTTACTTCGGGTTTCACCAACGTCAGACCCTTTACCTCGGGTTACACCAACGTCAGACCCTTTACCTCGGGTTACACCAACGTCAGACCCTTTACCTCGGGTTTCACCAACGTCAGACCCTTTACCTCGGGTCACATCCACATCGGGCCCTTCACCTCGGGCATTTTGATCAACTTTGTCCATTGTACTCTGAAACTTACAAATATATATTAATATATATCCTTTTTATATATCACGAACATAATATTACGCCTTTAATTCCCAAAAAGGCTGAGATACACTTTGTTGAAATTATGAATTTAGTATACTAGCGACATCTAGTAGTAAACATTTCAAACTTTTGGCTCAGTGTGATTATTCACTACTAAAAATTATGCATTTCAATTGCTCGCAAGGGAAGCTTATTGCTGTAGATACACAACCCACTCAGGTCACATTTTAACCACAAAATAGACTAATCGTATTTTACCCAATCCGGGAATCAAACTTCAGATCTATGCGTTAGTAGATTAGAGGTAGTCATCACATTGGTCAAATAAAAAGATAAAATAGAACCTTGTTATTGTTTTTCCATTAATTAATGCTATAAAATAAATAAGCTTATGGTAGGTATCACTCACTGAACCTGAATGTGAACTAACAAACAAAAATAAATGTTATAATAATACATACATACTCCGATTTATGTGACTATTTCATCACATCATCAACAGCCTATAAATGCCCACTGCTGAGCAAAGCCTCTTCTCACACGGAGAAGGTTAGAGCTTTAATCACCACGCTTGCTCAATGCGGGTTGGCGATTTCAAACTTATAATTAGAAATTATAAGTTCAGGTTTCCTCACGATGTTTTTCCTTCACCGTTTGTCAGTGGTGTCTAAATAATCTTAGAAAGTACATATAACTCGGAAAAAGTCACATTGGTACTTGCCGTTGGTAGGTTTCGAACCCGCACCCTCATGCATGAGAAGTGGGCGTCTTAAACCTCCGGGCCACCACGACATT